ATTTGACCCCGTATACTTACTTTCAAAACCGCAGATTATTTAATAATAATTTTAAAGAATTTTGTTTAAAACATTTTTCTGTATCTCTCGTAAACAAAATATTATTCTGAATTTTTTATTTGGCCCCGTATCGCTCTAAGCGGCTGAATATGTTCAAATTTCTGATTTTATCATTCTAAAATTTGATGCAATAATTAAATTACGGAGATCCTATAAAAGTGTCAAGAATGGGACATGAGAATAACTACTTTACGTGTTATTAATAATTTGTTCAATTAATTCCTGACAATTATTGACGACATTATATGCTAGTTTCTTTACTTTTAGCGCATTTTTTAAGAATTAAAAAAATATTTGCTATTGTTTGCGTTTTGTCCGTCCGTCCATCCGGACCCACGTCTGCGATTTTGAACTACTTTTATGGGAACGGGCTTAGAGTCCTGGAATTTTTTGGCAGTATGTAGCGTATAGATTGAAATACTGCCTCAAGCCGCCCCCCCCCCCCAGAATTATTTGCTGAGATGCTGTTTTTGAATGTAAAACGTGCATAACTTTTACAGGCGAGAACTAACCAGTCTCAGAATTTGCATCCGTGCCAAGTTAAACTTTTGAAAATAGGGGGGAGGGGGGTACACACGTTCTACCCTTCATGGTACTCTAATAAAAGGTCTCAACCGTTTTCTACCAACTACCGCTCTACTTTCCGACTCCTTATCAAAGGGGTGTGTGGGGGGGGGGGGGGGATTATCCCAATCCGAAAAATTAAAAGAATTTCAAGATCGGTAGATGTACCTACACATACATGGGGTAGAAAAGGGCGGCAATCAAAACGAGCCGCATCCTCTGCTAGTGTACTTACGGAAGAATAAACTTTGTTATATACAGGGGTGTCTTCCGATGCATATTTGAGTGCTCTACAGTTTGAAATGTTGCAAGCAAGCAAGTGTATTAACAGAGGGTGTAATTTTACGAGCGGTGGCTCATTGCGGAATATTCCGAAACACGTACGTCAACAACCCTCCGAGCACTAATTTTTTTTTATTGAGATCCATTTAATGCGATAAAAGTTTCATACTCGCATTAGATACGTGCGGTTTGTAAGTAAATTACATAGGGTGCGTATAAGCTTAATGTGATTCGTGGGGGCGGCTAATTACCTACGTATCATGTACGCTTTAGCATCAAAATTTAGTACGGTTTAATGAGTTTCTAGATTAATATTGAAATTCAATTGTCGCATTCTAACGTTAACATTTTACGAGCGTTAAACAAATTTATTGCTCCCGCATTAATAAAACGATCTCCTCGCGAACTAAATTGATTAAAACAAGTTTACCTGTTACTTAATTGTTGGGGGATTTTGCAGGCACCGAAGCGTATGTGCCACAATAAAGATATTACTCCCTCGTGTTTTCGTTTAGAATTATTGTTCCATTTTAATTGTTGCAGGATCCAAAATTGAGGCAGATCGTCACGATGGGTTCCCAAGACACGTTGGAGGAGAAAACTGTAACCGTCTGCTGCGGAACAGATTTCGTTAATATTTCCTTTGTAAACTTCTGCTGCACGAGGAAGGAGATCTCTCGCCTTTGGACGGACGCCCTGATGAGTTTGGCCTACAACCTGACGCAGGTTAACGGCACCACCAGCATGTTCCTTCTCAAAGCATACACCAAACTTACCCTTCTCACTGATAAGGCAGGAAAAATACCAATCAAAAAGTAAGTGTGGGAAGGTTTTAATTTTGTTTTGCGATTTTGCTGATTTGCACGATAATTACTAACCTAAATGTAATGCTATTTGGTATGGTTGGAAAGCATTTTTTCAGA